CAGTGCAGTCCCTGAACAGTCTGAATGACCACATGGCTCAGCTGATGCCGTCCCCCTGCAGTCTGCCCGAGGAGGATGAACCCTTTGTCCCCGGAGGGCATGGGGACAACCTGAGACAGTCCATGAGTCTGATGAGACACCTGCTCACTGACGCTCAGGTGAGAGGGGGGCACGGGTAACAGGGTGGGCCAGTTTTCATGTATTTGTGTAAATATGTTTTATCCTTCAATAATCAGGAAGAGTGTTAGCATGCTAGATGTTGTTAGCTTTTTCATGACAGCAAAACTCCACTCTGGTCCCTGAAAGTTGCAAAAAATGCTTATGAATATTTACAATGCTCAGACTGCATAAGGTAAGTGAAAAATTAGGAATAACTTTGCCCAACCGAAACCATTTCAAATGAGTTAGTTCTTTTTTCATGTTTTTAAGACAGTACAGATCTGGTACAACACCTTTAATATTTACATTTTTTTGACACCAGATCGTGATTCACAATATCTTCATTATACCTTTAAGAAAAGAGTATAGTGATGTGCTTCTTCTGCAAATCAGGTCATTACAGAGGATGAACAATGGGAAGAGTGGGATTGAGTAGTGGGAAACATAGTGAACCACAATATGACGATTTCACCAAATAGTATAAACACAAATATCCGATAATGATTCAGTTTTAGCGATTTATCTCCCTGCCTACTATTTATTGTATTATTTATATGATATGTGTAGTAGTGCATCACTTGCCAAGATCTTTTTGTATCTATTCAACTACGGTTGACTTTAAAGATAAATAAATTGAATCACTTCCGCCTTTGATTTAAACTTGAAATAGTGCATATGCATACACCACTATGGCCAGCAGAGGGCACAGCAAATGTTTAGTTTAGCATTTAATAAGGTTCATTTCAAAGTTAGTGTTGGAGCCATTTTACACTTGTCTACCTCCTGCCACTGTGTGGCGCTATTTGTAATTATGCAAGTACCTGCCCTATAAAAGGGGAGGAAAATGTGCACACAGGTGTTGCAGTATGAAGTATACAGTCTTTTGACCGTCGTCGTCGTGATCTATCGAGTGCCGAATCTGTGTGTTTTTGGATGGCTATGAGGTATGCCAATAAATGTTGAGGAACACAGTACTTGGACTCTCTTTTATTGAAGACAGGCATCCGAGACACCACACACACTGCAGCCATAGCAGACCTTGCACAGGGCAAGTTTTGGCCGCTACAGTTAGGATTCAAACAAATCCATTTCTTTTTGCCAGAAAAGGCTCTATTAAAACACCTACAAAAACACTGCAGTTTACTTCGACCCTCCTGTCATGAATTTTTAAAAAATAAATAAATGATAAGAAATTATAGAAAATGTTCCAGCTCCAATATTCCAGATGTGGTTTTAAGTCTTTCATTGGTTTTAATGGCCCTCACTGCCCACTTTTCTAATTATTTTCAGCCACTTCATGATATTCAATTAAAGCATTACCCAAACAACTCCAGTCCACCTGGAGACTCACTATGAGATTTCTCTATTGTGGAGAATGATATTGCTCTTTCTTAAGATCGATTTCATCAGGTTCAACTGAGTTATCTTTGTAATTATAAAAGATTAGATCTATATTAGAAATCACATTTTTGAATCATCTCCAGACATAAACTCAGATACATGCTGGTCAGGTATTAAAAATGGCAACCCTTGTGTTCAAATTTCTACACATACATATTGTATAGATGTTTCCCTTTTTTTGATTCTTATTTTGCTGAATTCTTAAATCAAATTCCAGCCCAATTCACATAAAGACCTAGAGCAAGTTAATCAAGTAGAATTTCATAATGCCTCTGTGACCCTGGCGTCTTGTGATTAATATGAAATCTTGACACAGTGATGCATGGAGGTCTTGCCGAATTATCACTTTAACCTTGAGAGACTGATGTAGGGATTTATTTAACGCCTTTCTCCGGGCACTGTTTTCAGGCATAAAATATCATTTAAATGTCCCAAAGTTAGCAAACGTTCTTAGTCATCTTTAAACTTATTTTGATGGTGAAACAATGCAAAGGATTTCATCATGCTAATTATAAAATGAGTAAAAGTCCTATATTACGCAAAATTGAGCTTATGAGTTTTAAGCCATGTTATAATGTTACCTCATCAAAAACATACCCAGTAACCCTTTATTTTTAGTCTGTCTACATCTCCAAAGCTTAAAATGCTTTGCTTCACCTTGTGATGTCATGTAGTGGTAGTTTTCAAGATGACAGTCACCTTTTACCGTTTGTTCAGAAGAGATTGACAGTTCCAGGGGTGAAATGACCCAAATGTTTAAATGATGGAGTTTAAAAAGATAGTGGAACACTTCCTGTTGACAGTGTTTTCTGTTTGAGAGAAGAACTCAGCCAACATATGCAAGTTTGTGTTTTAAACGTGTGAATGAAACAAAACACAACTCCAGTATATTTTGAACAGGAAACAGCAATATAACGTAGATCAGAAAATAGCAGCCAGAAAAGTCCCCAGTTTGTTGTTCAGTTTGCTGTTTGTAGCATTTGTGTGAAATGTCCCATTGTGATGTGATGAGGGCGTTGTGGATGTGCAGTGCCCAGTGAAGCACAGACAGCACTCAGAGCAGTGGGTCTCTTGGCCTATGACCTTGTTTGTGTCCAAAGTTTCACTCACGACTTTTTACTCTAAACATATTTGATCTTGTCTTGTTTTGATGTGGGAGTGTGGACAAACCTATCCCAGGTTTATTGTTTCTCATAAAATTATATTCAGGCTTAGACTTGGGCTGCTCTTTTTTGATTTAGCCTATTTTAGAATGGACTGTTGTGGTAATTGCAATAAAAAAGCCACACTTGTGATATTGGTAACTATGAAGTATACTTTGGGTGTAATGGAATTGATTGACAATGTATATAGAAGTAATAATGAACACAATTTAGAAAAGAGGTTGCTGGATTGCTGGTCTCATATTATAGCAGTCTCGATGAGTTGATTTGGCAAAGTGGATCGACTGATATAGAAACACCATTAGTGCATAATGTTTCGAACTTGTTGTTTCCATTGGAGCAGATTCAGCTGCATTTGTGTCTGTGAATATAGAGAAAAGATCATCATGGAGTGAAGTGAGAGCCACAGTGATTAGAATCATTAGCTGCAGTAAATATTTGTTTATGCTTGAGCCTCTATTGTAAACATTTCAAAGACGTTCAGAAAATTGGAAGGATCTCATAGAGCGACAGTTTAAATGCCCCATATTACACAACACTGACTTTAGGCCATGTTACCTCATTAAAAATATAGGCAGTTTTGTTTTGTTTCATTCACATGTTTGAGTAATCTTAAAACATCAGCTCAAAATGCTCTGTTCCACCTTGTGATGTCATAAAGAGGTCATTTTCATGTTAACAGCTACTTTTTACCTTTAGTTCAATATGGACTGACAAATCCAAGGCTGAAATTATCCAAATGATTCTAGTGAAGAATGCAGTTTAAAATATACTGTATTTGTAAATATTTCAGTATTTCAGTTTTAAAATACTTTTAAAAAATAAAAAAAGCTTTTGGACATCAGCCATCTGGGTTTGTGTGTTAAACATGTGTGAATGAAACAAAACACAACTCCAAGTATTTTTTTTTTTATAACACAGATCAGAAAATAGTGTAATATGGGCCCTTTAAAGGTTCACTATGTTATGCACCTGGCCTTAAACTTATCTATCCCCAGACAAACATTATGATGCCATAAAGCCAAGTTACAGGTCAGGTCTGTGGAAAGGCCAGCCCACTCACAATAAGAATACATGTTTTTCCAAGGATACAATTTCAGAATTTTGGAAATAAGACCTCATTTCCTAGTGAGCCAGAGTGTTGGAGACGTGTGTAGACACTTTTTTAAATATTCCATTCAGTTTGCAGAGGTCGCTGGTACTAGGCTAGCGCATGTCAATGGCCATAGTTAGCCTGCCACTAAAAACACTAAAAACACTCCATAGAGCACCTGAAGCAAATCTATTATTAAGCCAGACTATTGATTTAAATGTCTGTGTTGATAGAATAATTTTAGAAGTAAAACCAACCTTGCATTTGAAGAATTTATGTCTGAGCAGCAGCAGCAGCGAGTTGTACTTGGCTTGGCAGCAGCGGACTGATATATGAGAAAATAGTCCCTCAACATGCGACGATTCATGCAATGCAATCTTAGTTTTATTATAACTTTGCAATTTAACATTATTTAACATTATTCTATCAACACAGGCATTTATATTGACAGTCTGGCGTTATAATAGATTTGCTTTGGGTGTTTTGTGGAGTGGGTAAGACTGTTTTTAGTGGCAGGATAACTATGGCCTCTGCAACTACAAGGACAGGATGGAATATTTAAAAAAGTGTCTCCATATGTCTCCAACGCTCTAGCTCATTAGGAAATGAGGTCCTCTGTCCAAAATTCCAAACTGTCCCTTTAACAAAATAAAATACCTATAATTTAAGCTGCCAAAGTTTGGAACATTCGTGGTTCAGCTTTAACTAATTTCAATGTGGATCTAGGAGTAATAGAAAATCATTCTTAAACGCTCCTTTCTATTTCACCTCACGATCTTAATCATGAGTATTTGCGTGGATATTTCCCAATCACTGCATCACTGGCTACTGTTGGCGCAGTCTGTCTCCTGGACCATAGCCTCCTCTCCCTCTGCAGCCTCCACACAAACTCAAATACATTTGATTAGTCACAGCCATCACAAATCAGGTCATGCATAATTCATGTGTGAAAATGATCACCTATCCTGGGGCAGCTATCAAAAAGAAACTGTTCAGATGCTCTCAAATGTATTTCTGTGCTTTTAAGGAGCTGCAGATTTCAACAAAGATACAATTATCTGATGTTAAGGGTCAAGGATTCTCCCAAGATTTTAAAGTGGTTGGTTGTTCAAAAACTGTGATTGAGACATGTTTTGACTGAGATGGCAAAATGTTGTCTTTTCTGTCAACTAAAATACACTCCATAAATCATTGGTTCTATGGATATGTCATTACTCTGCTGAGAATATTCCACAGTATGACATTAAACAGTTCTACCTCACATGTATTCAATTACAGGTAGTTTTATAGCAATAGTATAGAAAAACAGGCATTCTGACTGTGAGTGGGGTTACATCTCCAT